CCCTGAGGACAGGGTCCTGCCCCCCCCCAGGCTGTGCTCCCTGAGGACAGGGTCCTGCCCCCCCCCCCACTCCCAGGCTGTGCTCCCTGAGGGCAGGGGCCCTGGTGTCAGTCTGTCACCACCACCAGCTCAACCCCTTGTCTCCTTTCAGGCTGCTTTCTTCCACCCACACCTCCTGGGTGCCAAGCCCTGGGCAGACAAGGGCCCTGCCCCCAGGACGTTCCTTCCTGAGGTTCAAGACCTCCTGACTTGGCCTCAGGCCCCCACCTACCCCAGTCCTGGTCACACTAAGCAATCAGTGAGCTCCAGCCACATCTCAGTGTCTCTCGCCTCCCACATGGCCTCCCTACTTTCCCTCTGACAGCCCACCCTACTCCTCCTCCTCCTCCCCCACCCAGCACCCTGATCTACTGCGGGTAGCACAGGGCTGACCTGCCTGTTGGGGTTCCTGGGTGCTGCAGTTAACGCTGTTGGCTGCTAACCAAAAGGCTGGAGGTTCAAAGCTACCCAGAAGAATCTCAAAAGGCAGGCCTGTCAATCTATTTCCAAAAAATCAGCCACTGAAAACTGTGAAGCACAGTTCTACTCTGACCCACACAGACCTGCCATGAGTTGGAGTTGACTCCACGGCAACTGTTTTTTGTTTTGTTTTGTTATTGTTGTTGTTTAAACTGCCTTCTGGCCTGTGAGGTCTGTCTTCCCCTGGCTGGGGATCTCGCTCTTCTTGGTACATGTCCCCAGGTGGAAATGCTTTACTCAGAAGGGGTGACAAATCTTCCTGCTCTCAGTCACCACATCAGTCAGGGTGACTGGGTGAACCTATGGCCTTCGGTAAGATGAAAAGGAACCAAAGGTCACAATGGTACTTGGTCGTTTGGGAGTCAAGAATCCTGTTTGCAGCTCTTTGAATTTCAAAATGCTGGGCTGGTGAAAAATGTTCAAGAAGGATAGGGACCATTCATATATGAGGAAGCAGAAGCCCAGGCAATAGGGCGCTGTCTAAATCTCCGCAGACCTATTATGGATACTGTGCTGATTGTTCTCCATGTGTGCCCACCCCAGATCCACTATGCACCCCTCTCCATCCTGCACTGCATCCCAGGGGCTGACCTGAATGCAAGCCAACAGGCTTCCTTGCCCTATGGCTTCTGCTTGGATTCAGCCAGTAGGAGGTGCCAGCAGGAGGAGAGAGAGGTCAGGCTATTTATTCCTCCAGCTCCCTCCTCACCAACCACACTGCCTGCGGCCTCTCCCATAGCCCCAGGCTTTGCCTGGTTCCAGTAACAGCTCCCCTGCTTTGCCCTTTAGGGTAGCAATGGCTCCCCATAGAGTCCCTCTGGGTCCCTTAGCCCTGTCCAAACTTCTGCACAAGGCCCCTTCATTAGACTCTCATTCACCCTTCGACTATCCCACTGTTTCCTCCAGGACTCTGCTGATACTGCTCCCAGAAGCGGCAAGGAGCTTCCAAACACAGTCAACTGTCAACCTCTTGAGTCTTGTTCTATCTCCCATAACCTCAATGGCAGGGTCTGTGATGACCACAACACCCCCCCTCAAAAAAAACCCAGTTGCCGCTGTGCTGACTGCGACTCACGGTGACCCCATGTGTGCCACAGTAGAACTATGATCCACAGGGTTTTCAGTGGTTGATTTTTCAGAAGTAGATCACCAGGCCTTTCTTCTGAGGCACCTCTGGGTAGACTTGAATGGCCAACCTTTTGGTTAGCAGCCTAATGTGTTAACCTTTAGGATTTGCAACAGTTAAGATGCTCGACAGCTAACCAAAAGGTTGGAGGTTGGAGCCCTCCCAGAGGCGCCTCAGAAGGCTTGGTGATCTACTTCCAAAAAATCAGCCATTGAAAACTCTATGGAGCACAGTTCTACTATGAAATGCACGCGGTCGCCATGAGTCAGAATCGACTCAATGGCAACTGTTGATGACCACAAAGCTTGCAAAACCTTTTGTGCTGTTCACTTGACCTACAGAAAGCTTGGTGTAGGAAACAGAATTTTCTCCCTTACACTGTAAACAAACCCATCAAACTTGTGTTAGTTGATCCATCGCTATTTTGTTCATTGAGATTTTTTGTCAGAAAACCTAGACCTGGCTTTTAGCTTTTACCTTGCCGGCTGCTTGAAATTATGCCTCTAACAGATTCAAATACAAACAGGAAGCAAGGCCAGGCTCCTCCAGCCCAGCTCCTTGCCCCTCTCAGCTGACCTGCTCTGCCTGCTTGGGTTTTTCTCCTCTGATGGCTCAGCCCCAGGGCTTCAACTGCAGGCCCGCTGAGGCCCTCATCAACCATTCACAAAGAGTAGCAAATAGCTGGTAACCTACCAGTGGCCAATCTGGAACCAGCTCCTGGCACCAGGGAGCCCGAGGTGCGTGCAGAGAGAAGCAAACAGCCGCAGCAGAGGTCCCAGACCTCAGTCACAAGCTTTATTGTCCCAAGTACGGACTCGCCACACTTCAACAATTCCACTTTGAAGAGGGGAAAGGGGTGGGGAGGATGGAGGGGGCCCATGGCTGAGCCGGTACCAGAGTGGCCCACAGGTCAGGCTGAGAGGCCCATGGAGGCAGATGCTCACAGGAAGCCGTTTCTGTGACCGCCAGCTACCCGAAAGCCCACCCTCGATGGCCCCAGCCTCTGCCTGGTGCTGCGTGTGTGGGCCTTGCTGTTAGTAGACTAATGGCTGCCCCCTTGCCTGACTGTACGGTAAAGAACAGTCTATGGCTCTGGATTAGGCCGCTACAGCATCGCTTCTCTATTGTTGTTAATAAAACCACATGCGAGAGCTTCCAAAAGCCAATGGGGATGGGAGGCCAGGGGCACTACCTTGCTGCCCCAGGATGGACTGCGCTGGGGCAAGAACGTGGGCACCACCTACCAGTGCCTGGGAGGCACCTGGGCTGGTCTGAGGGTGGGATTTGCATACCTGGTGCATTATGGGAATGTCATGATGGGTATGAGGCTCACCCGCTCACCCGGAGGGGGCAGGCCTCACATGAAAAATCTCCCTGAGCTGAGGGAGGGTGATGCTGAGGCACAAGGCGGCAGCCCATCTGCAGGCCCGGCGGCTCTCCAGGTGGGGCTGCTGTGTGATACTGGCTTTTCCCACCACGTCCAGGCCTGGAGTTGCTCAGCAGTGTTGAGAGGAAGAGGCGGGAGGCAATTAGATTTGTCTTGTCTCCAACACCCCTTGGGGGCTTTTCCTAGTTACAAGAGACAGCACTGCAAAGCTCCAGGCAGGTGGGGAGGAGGGGGCTGCCGGTGCGGGTGCGTGCTGATGCGCGTGTGGCACACGTGTACATGGATGGGCAGCACATTTGCTCTGCAGGAAATGTCTGCAGCATCTGCAGCACAGCCTTGCCCGACCTGGGCTCAGTTCCGGAACCCACACGTGTGCATTCGTGTGGCCCAAGCATGTTAACTGCAAACACACCCATCACGTGCCCAAGCGCACAAGCAGGGATCCCTCTGAGTATGTGCACGTGCTGAGGGATGTGGGGTGTATCCACCAGGGCCTGCAGGTGGGAGGCCCAGTTTCAGAACATCCAGTCAACCCAGGGGACCTTGTATTACTGACCAGTCAAAACATGCTCTGGACTCCTCTGTGGCCATCCCTCCCCCAGGTCCAAGCCGGGACTGGCCAAGGTCAGTGGTGGGGGTGAGGAGAGGGGCATCCAAACTTTCCTAACACTGCAGCTCCTGTCTTGGGCAGACACCTCTGCTCGCGGCTGGCAGTGTATGTCTTGTGTCTGTGTCCAGTGTGGGGAGAGGAGGGCCTCTGCCCACCTGCGCCATGAACCTGGGGGCCCACTAGGCAGGTGGGTGAGGAGTGCTAGTACCACTATTTGAAGGGCCCTCAGTATGTGGGGACAATAAGCCTTGGGGGCACCTCAACCTGGAAACAGCTTCAGGAAAGGGGCCCCCACCTGGTTCCGGAAGTCTGGACTTGCCTCCTCAATGCCTGCAAGGAGAAGCTGGGCCTCCCCTGGCCCTTCTGGGCACAATGGCTGCCCTGGGGCCTGAAGGAACCCAGGGGGTAGAAGGAGGAAAGGGAGGGCAGGGGAAGTGCCAGGGCGCCCAACTGGTCCTTGGGTTGCCTGCCCGGGGGGTTAAGGGGAAAGGGCTTGGCTGGATGGCCTCTGCCTCCCAAACAAACTCTGGAAACTTCTGGGCGTCCAGGCCGAGGTCCCGAGCTCAAGCTGCGGCTGTGCTGCTCCCTGTGGAAAGCCGTGCTTGAGGAAGCCTCCTGGTCCGGCCCGGGGCTCTGGGGTGGGGACTGTCCGGAGTGAGTACGCTATTGTTACAAACACTGTTCTTGTCTCCAAAGTGACAATCCTGGCCCCTGCCTGGAGGGGGCGCCACCAGGGCAGGCCAGCGGTCTCTGGTGTGCACTGGGCCGCTCCACCAGGTTCCTCACAGTCAGTGCTTTTCCTAGGAGAGAGCAAGGACTTGATCAACAAGCTCTCCCGGCAGCTCAGGGACATGTGGGCAGAGAGGGGTCAGGTAGGAAAGGAAGGTCATGGGGGGAGTCATGGGATCCCTTCAGACCTATGACATTATAGAAAACCAATTTTACCCCTATAATTTTATAAAAAGTAGAATTTACAGAGACTGCTTAAGGAAGAGAGAAAATGCTTCCGTTAAAATATTCCATGAAAAAAACAGGAAGCAGCATTGAATATAGAGCATGCTATCTGCTATATTAAAATTATATATACGCTACTTTGCAACCATCACAGTAAAGATTGGTTCAGGCAAGAATCACCAACGGAAGCTAAATACTGGGGGAGTTTTGATGAGTGTAGGGTATCTGCTCGGCCTTAAAGCGTTTTTCCACAGATTGCTTACTGGTGGCAAAAGGACAAACCAGTAAGTATACAGTGGAGATTTCAGACAACACCTGGACCAGACATTCAAAATCAACACCATGAGGGAGGGCAGATGGTCACCACATGCCTCCAGAAGTGACCTCTGCAGTATTCAGATCTGAAGTTGCATAACTCGACTCTAACCTCAAGGAACCATCAGACAAACCCCAAACAAGAAATGTTCTATTAAAAAAAAAAAACACAAAAAAACAAGGGAGGACTGTATTTGGACAATGTCAGTGTCATAAAAATCAAAGAGAAAATTACGGTAACGTTCTAGATTAAATGAGACCAAAGAGACATGAATAGCCACAACAAAGGAACTCGAGCATACCAAGTCATGAAAATGACGCAGGACCAAGAACCGTTTCATTCTGTTACACACAGGGTTGCCATGAGTCAGAGCTGACCCTACAGCAATCAACAATGAGACATGACAACTAAATACAAGCAGCCAACCTGACCCTAGACTTGAACCTGTACTGAACCCAAACCAAACCAAACCAGTTGCCGTTGAGTAGATTCTGACTCATGGCAACTCCACGCGTGTCAGAGTAGCACCGTGCTCCATAGAGATTGCCTGGTGCATCCAGGTGGACTCAAACTGCCAACCTTTTGGTTAGCAGCCAAATGTGTTACTGTTTGTGCCACTTGTACTGAGTGGGGGAAAGCTACAGGAGACATTATCTTATGAACTAAAAAAAACTGGAACATGGAGAGTAGATTAGATACAAATCTTATATCAATATTATATTTACTGAGGTTGAGAACTGAACTGTGGTTATGTAAAATCATGTCTTTTTCGCTCAGAAAATACAGATTAAAGTATTTAGAACCATGATATATGCAATTACACTCACACTCAAGCACTTCAGAAAAAAATTATGTATGTATTATTATAGACACATATACACCGAGAGCAAAAATAAAGCAATTGGGGCAGAATGTGAACAATATGTTATGGGGTGAAAGATACATGATGTTCTAGGTATTATTCTTATTCTTGCATCTGTTTTGTAAGTTTGAAATTAATTCCAAATAAAAAATTAATACATATTATACACACATACACAGATACACACATGCTTAGTTCATGAAGGATGTTATCTCTTAAAATGTTAACCTTGGTCATCCCTGGGTGAGAGGGCTACTGGTGAGTATTTTCTTCTCTATACATTTTTGGATTTTTTTCTGAAAGTTTCTAAATAAGCTCTATTACTTATAACTAAAAAGTTGTTTTTTTTAAAAAGGAAATGAACCAAGTTTGACAGCCGTAGGGAGGACAGCCCCCTCCATGAGCAACCCTCTCGCACAATGCATCTTTGTTTATCTTTTGGGTGACTTTTCAGGATTTTGGAAACCCTGGTGGTATAGTGGTTAAGAGCTATAGCTACTACCAAAAGGCTGGCAGTTCGAATCCACCAGGTACTCCTTGGAAACTCTATGCGGCAGTTCTACTCTGCCCTATAGGGTCACTATGAGTTGGGATCGACTCAACGGCAATGGGTTTTTTGGTTTTTCAGGACTTTTCCTCCAGAGAGGTCTGCCTGTGCAGGGGGGCTTGAAGGTGCCAGGGCGCCCCTTACCTCTTGTTTGTGGGCCTTGTCTTGCTGGTGGATGCCATTCGCAGACCCGGCATTGCTGAGGGTCTGTAAGAACCATGGGAGAGGCTGAGCGAGGGTCCCAAAGCAGCAGTTCCTGGCTTACCCACTACACGGCAAGGTCTTCCTGACAGGACCATCTCAGGCTCCAAATCCCAACAAGGGCTCTGCAGACTGGGGCTCCCCAGAGCCAAAACTCTCAGGGAAGACTGCATCTTCCCCATTAGTCTGAGCTCCTCAGGATAAAGTCATATAGGTTCCCCTTGATCTGGGACTCTCAGGGGGCAGGGCTGTGTCTCTCCCCTCAGACGAGGCTCTCAGGACGGGGCTACCTCCTCTTAGACAGGACGCTCAGGACAAGGCCGCCTCCCCTCAGATGGGCTCCCAGGACAGGGCTGCCTCCCCTTAGACGGGGCTCTCAGTACAGGGCCACCTCCGCTCAGGCTCTCAGGAAGGGGCCGCCTCCTCTTAGACGGGGCTCTCAGGATGGGGCCACCTCCCCTCAGATGGGGCTCTCAGGACGGGGCTGCTTCCCCTCAGACAAGGATACCTCCCCTCAGTCAGGCTCTCAGGACGGGGCTACCTGCCCTCAGACGGGGCTCTCGGGGCGGGGCCACCTCCCCTCAGACAGGCTCTCGGGATGGGGCCACCTACCCTCAGATGGGGCTCTAAGGATGGGGCCACCTCCCCTCAGACAGGTTCTCATGACAGGGCTGCCTCCCCTCAAAAGGGGCTCTCAGGATGGGGCTACCTCCCCTCAGAAGGGGCTCTCACAATGGGGCCACCTCCCCTCAGATAGGCTCTCACGACAGGGCTGCCTCCCCCCAGACAGGGGTCTCAATGGGGCCACCTCCCCTCAGACAGGCTCTCACGACAGGGCTGCCTCCCCTCAGACGGGGCTCTCAGGATGGCGCCACCTCCCTTCAGACAGGCTCTCAGGACAGGGCTGCCTCCCCTCAGACAGGGCTCTCAGAATGGGGCCATCTCCCCTCAGACGGGGCTCTCAGGATGGGCCCACTCCCCTCAGACAGGGTTCTCAGGACAGGGCCGCCTCCCCTCAGATAGGCTCCCAGGACAGCCCTGGCCACGGCTCACCTGGGACTTGTCCGGGCAGCTCCGCATGGCCTCCACGAGCTTCTCCACTTGCTGGGCCTGGTCCAGTGCTTCACGCAGAGCATCCTCTGTACTGATCAGCTGGTGCTGCAGCCTCAGGAGCTCAGGTGCTGTAGATGGGTCGATGAGGGAGTAGCGCCTCTGCTCTGACAGGGACTTCTCTCTGTCCTGGAAGAGGCAGGAGAGGGGAAGAGAGAGGGTGTGTGTGTGTTTGTTGGGGGAGGGTGGGTTGTTCTAGCCCCACCTGGGCTCCAGGCTTGGGTGGATCATGATGTCCCTCCCTCACCTGAGAATTCCCACTGAACGCCTTTCTCCATTCCCTGCCTGGAATTCCCAGGCTGTCAGACTTTCCACATTCTCTAAGTCCCAGGATTCAGGACGCCCTCAGCTTCCTTCACGCAGTCTTGTATGAATTTCTTCCTCCCTACCCAGACCCAAAGCCTCAGATGATCCCCTTATCACCTCACACTGGCCTCCCACTCTCCATCCCACCGTACCCTTCTTCCATTGCGCCTCCTCTTCCCTCCCCAGTGTGACATTCATTCACTTTGGCTTCCAAGCCCTCCACAGCTGCCCTACTCACCATGGTACCAGAGAGATACCCTCCACAAAGGCAAACCAACAACCCAGCCCCACACTGCCCCCTTGGGCCTTGCACTTCCCAGTCCTTCAGCTCCGCTCTGAGCCTCTGTCCAAACCCCTCCATGACCCCAGCCTTCCTCCCTTCAGTTTTCTAACCGCCCACCGGGGCCTTCCCAAGTTCTCCTGCACTAAGATGGCGGTGCTAGGAGTGGTGCAGGGAGATGACGGGATAGGCTGTCCCACAGGAGGGGCCACCGCTACTCATGTAAACTCAACTCTAGGCTCCACAGAACCACGAGGGCCACAGAGGGCTGGAACCAAACCCCTGCTGGCCAGATGTGCCGGGACTTGAAGGCCAGCAGGACGCTGGGCCCTGAGACACCTACGCCCACAATTGGGTGTGCAGCCCCTTCACCATTAACCCTAGAGGCCGCAAACCTGTTCTTACAGCGGTGGGGCATATCTTGTCCCTCCCTCCAGCCTGTGAACTTCCCAAGGGCTGGGTCTTCTCCTTCAGGCCCTCCACAGTGTGGCTGAGCCATGCGGCTGGGCAGGAGGATGGGGAGGGCCTTAGGAGCAGCCTCCTATGACAGCAGGTCTGAACTACTGGACCCCACCCCACCCCACCCATACCCTGGGGTTGACCAGGCCCAGAGCCCAGCCACAAGCTTGTCCTGACTACTGACCACAGAGGGGTGGGGTGGGGATGGTTCCATCCTGGGCGACGATCATCACCCACCCACCCCAGACCCTACTTCTGGTAGCTCAGCTCCAGTCAGGTTCTTGTTCATAATGAAGAAGGACCACCAGCGTCCCGGAGCCCCAGGACTGGCAGAGGCTCTCAAGTTCTAGTCTAAAGCTCCACTGCAGGACCCTCAACAAGCAGGTGGGGTCTGGCTGATTACTACAAGGAAGAAGAGAATTCTACCACTGAACCACCAAGGACCTTGCCTGTGGTTCTAGGGGACTTTAAATCCCTACCGTGACTTGGCTGTCCCTGGGTGGCTCTAAGAGGCCAACCAGCCCCCACACTCTGACAGCGGGGCAGCACCAGCCCCACCCTGGCACCCCTATCCCCAGGCTCCCCGCCCTCACGCACCAGCCCAGTCAGCTTCTCATGAAGGCCTCGGATGTCGTCCTTGAGTTTCTGCTCCTTGATCCGCCACTCAGCCTTGTGGACCTCTCTGCTCAGGTCCCTCTCGGGCCCTGGGGAGTGACGATTGGCCTCCAGTAGCAACACCCGTAGCTCATTCAGGCTCCTGGTGGTGGGGGGGGTGGTGGTGACGAGTTGGGGGACAGGACAGCTGCAGTCAGCCCGGCCCCTCCAGCTCCCACACGCCAGAAATTTGCCAAGTGCCTGGAGACTGCCACCCTGCAGGGGACGGTCACTAAGACAGCATCTGTGCCAGGAGGGACCAGAGTGGGAAGATGAGGCATGGGACAGTTCAACCACAGCCCGAGAGGAGCCAGGATTTGGGGGTGGGATAGTTAAGAGGACTTGGCCTTCCCTAGAATGTTTTTAAAAGTATTTTTTTTTTTTTAAAAAGAGCACAATATTTAATTTAAAAAAACAAAAAAGATTCATTCAAGAGATCTAATGTGGCAAGACATTTTAAGTGTCTGATGTTAAATGGGTTTTATTTCACATGTCAACTCTTAATCAAAGAGCTGTAGCTGCCTGCAGAACTGTGTTGAGAACGACTGAGGCTGTATCTAGGCTCTGCAGAAGAGTATGGTGATCAATTAGCGATGTATGCCAGAGGCACAGGATGGGAGAGTAAGGCGCACTCCTTCTAAGCCCTTTTTCCTTTGCCTGCATCTACTATACCCGCAAAAAACAAAACCCATTGCCACGAGTCAATTCCAAGACAGAGAACTGTCCCAAGGAAACTCCTAGGGTTTTGAAGGAGCACCTGGTGGATTCGAACTGCTGACCTTTTGGTTGGCAGTTGAGCTCTTAACCACTGTACCAGGGCTCCACATCTACTATAGGGGATGGGAAATCTCCCTTACTAGGTGGTCCTGGGTAGTTCTGGCCAATGAGACCAAAATGGAACTCTGCTGGCATTGCCCCCCTCTTCCTCCTTCTAGCTGTGTGAGTAGCTGTGATTGCCGGGGCTTCATAAGCCACTTTGCAATCATGAGGAAGAGCCCAAGAGAGCCACAAAGGTATTGGCACTGATATCACGAGCCACTGTGCCAACTGCCAGCCACAGCTCTTGTTCTGTGAGGAAAATAAACCTCTACTAGTTTAATCTGCTGTTTGATGGATATTATGTTGTTGTGAGGTGCCGTTAAATCAATTTAGACTCACAGTAATCCTCTGCAACAGAGCAGAACTTCTCCATAAGGTTTTCTTGGCTATAATCTTTACAGAAGAAAATTGCCAGGTCTTTCTCCTGTGGAGCTGCTGACAGGGTTTGAACAGCCAACCTTTCAGTTAGCAGCCTAGCGCTTAACTGTTTGCACCACCAGGACTGATTGGATATTACATTAGTTGTAGCCAAAAGCATTCCTACTGATCTCCCACCACCCCCATCCTAAGCACCACAAGAACATGGCTTGTATCAATCAAGAAAGGCTTCAAGGAAGGGCCGGGCTGTGGGCTAAGCCTTGATGAATGGACAGGACTTAGTAAAAAGATCAGAAGGTATCCCAGAAGGTTGGAATTGTGTGAGTGATGAGAGACGAAGGAAGGAATGAGTATGCTGAATGCAGCGGGTGGGGGTGGGGGTGGGGGAGGACAGGGGTCTGGGGTAGGGTCAGGGCAGACTCTAGGAAAGAGGACATGATGCTGAAGATGAGGGTGAACACAGGCATCGACTAAGACCGCACAACCGCAGTGAGTCCTACTGAGTGCAGTGGGAGCACAGTCAGAAAGATTCCTCAGGAGGGAAGGCTGGGCTGAGCAATGATGAACAACCAGTTTGGACAGGGGAGGGTGGGGAGCAGGACAGCCTGGAGCTGGAAGTCTTTCCATGCTGGAGAGGCACAGGCTTCTTCTGCAGAGGGTGGTGTGCTCGGGAACTATTCCCAAGGTACCTCGTGGCATCTGTTTAACTTCCCAACTCCAGCAAGGCCTCCTGGGGCAGTGACGTGTCTTCTAAGGGGTGCTAGATGTGAAACAGATTTACAGGAGGGGGCGATGAGCCAGCATTTCCTTTATAAAAAGATGCTTGTGCTCCGAAGAGATTCCTCTAACTCAGGGGCGGACACTCAAGTGCCTACAGGGCTGGGAATCAAGTCTGTGAACAGATGTAAGAAAAACAATGAAGGGTGAGGGCAGAGCAGACCCAGGGGCCCATGTTCCAGGAAAAGGCGGTGGGTGCTGCCCAGCAACGGCTGGTTGGTGACATGCAGGAAGCCAGCCCAGCGGTGCCGGACTTCCCAATTTTTTAAGGGAATCTGGAGAAATCTACGTTTCATGTGATATCTTATTTTTTAATGCTAGGCTAGTTTTTCTTAAGCCTCATGAGTCACACAAACCATGTCTATAAACTAGCTAATCTAGTGGTGCTCCAAGTATGGTCCAGGGAACCGTTTGGGAGGTTCCCCAAAACCTTTTCAACGGATTCATGGGTCAAAACTATTTTCATAATAATACTAAGAAGCTATTTCTCATGAGTGTACAATAGATTTTTCCAGAAGCTATATGACATAATCATAATCTGAAAAGGATGTTAAAATACTCCTTTCTTTTCCAACTATGTAGGGTCAGATTTTGATAATATACTTCAACCAAAACAACCAATTACAAAGGTTGAATGCAGAAAAAGATGTAAGAATCCAGCTGTCTTCTAATAAACCCCCCATTAGAGAAATTCTCAAAAATGTAAAACACCACCACTCTTTTCACGAAATTATTTTTGTTTTGGAAAACAGTTACTTTTAATAAAAAGCATGTTATTTATGTTACATGCAATTGGCTTATTACTGCTACTTTTAAGTGAACTAATAAATACTTTAAAATTTCTTGGTTTTAATTTCTAATACAGGGAATCTTCAATGATTTTTAAAGAGTTTAAAGGGGTTTTCAAAACCAAAAAGTTTGAGAACACTAATCTATTCTATAAACTCTGCTTGGAGAATTGTGTTTAAATGGATCCTGACGCTTCATCTGAGCTGCAGGAGAGCACGGTGATCACAGGTGACGTCAGTCAGCTCCCCACTGGTCCCTCCCGCCTTTGGGGAAGACTGAGGAGAGCACGGTGATCACAGGTGACGTCAGTCAGCTCCCCAC